GAGGACTGGCAATTCAATATTACCATTATGATTCATAAAGGTGGGGAAAGTTAAAAAAAAACAATTAATAGCCTAAACCATACTATCACCTAAAGGTTATAGTGTTTTACAAAAGCTTTATTATTGTTATCACCATACGTAAAGCTCTAGTTTTCTTTCCATAGTGTCACTAATCGCATAATGGGCTCTCGGAATATCTTAGTAAGATTGCTATTATAAATTAAGTCGATGATTTCAATATGCTATATTTTATCATGACATATAGGTGTAATAGTCAAGATATGCCAAATTAAGCTCCACATAATGAAATATCGACAGCTTTATGCAAAAGTTTAAAAGACTTTTGCCAAATTAGATTCATCATTGAATGTATTAGTTAATAGTATTTACCTAAAATGCTAAAGTATAAATCTTCTACCATCTTGTGTTGTAATATATCAGTACCCATGGAGCAACTCTTAGAAATTAAACACACTCAGCAATTTCAGCTATCAAAAACGATGCTAGGAAACACAAGTTGAATTTAACAATTCATTTAAGTCGCAGTATTCATGTAGAACTGTCACTATCATTACATTAAAAAAGGTTAGTTGCATTCAAGATTTACTGATATTCTCGAAATCCTACTCAATTCGAATACAAGTTTAATGTAATTGAGAATACATGTTTACTTTAGCCAATATACTACAATGTGACATGAGGCCTAACTTGCTTTGAAATTCAATTATTTCCTTGGCCTCCTGGCAATTGTAGGAATATGGTATCGTGATGACATGCCAAAATCATACACTGCATTACACGAGTTAGACTCCCGCCTAAGGTACTGATGGGACCTAGGTGAGGTCGAAAGTACATTATAAGGAATAGCGTCTTGGAAGTAAGGCTTAGTGAAATTTGTTAGAAACCGGAGGGCTAGACATGACATTATGGAAAAGATTAAACTATCAGTTCTTAGTCACCTCTTTAGACCTAGGATGATTTGAACTCTTATTCAATAAAACCTGATTATCATAGGCTTTTTCTGGATGCTTCCAGATAAGTTAAGTGGATGAAGTTGTGACTGAACAGCTACATCTTCCCCTAAATCACATGTTTTCTTGATCCTGCATTGCTGACGAATGTAATTGCGTTACATTGTTGTGTGTATGAAATCAGCGTAAATCGTTGTGGTTTGAGTCCCATTCGGCTCAAGGCTAATACAGAATTTTCCTCGAAGGTACTACCTGTTCCCTCTCTCTCCCACTCCTTACTTCTATTCAACAGCCACAGATGAAGTCCTTTCTTTGATTAGCTATGCTCCGGTTCCTCCGGTTAGCAATAGATCTTTGATCCAGGCGTCTCTTTTTTGCTGTTCTTGATGTATTCTTGTTTTACCTGAGTTTGCTTAAGCAGTAAGAGAATTTATCATTAACTCTAATTTCTTCCAATCTCCTGTTCATTAGATTTTTTCCCCAACTATATCAATGGCCTCCCTAATCTTCCGTTTTTTTGTGTTTTTAACGAATGAGGCCCTTCCACATCCGTTAACGTATGCTTTGGATGGACATGCTCCTCGTTATTCCTATCTTTAGTCTGTAATTGTAATAGGACTGGAAATTAAGCATTATCCTTGCCTAAGATTTTTTTTGTTTATGTATACGTCTGCTAAGGTGGGTGAGAGCAGTGATCCCATGGGAAGTCTGAATATTTGTTCGTAGATGGTCCCGTTTAATGAAAATAGGTGATCGCTATTGTCAAAATTGATTATTCGTGTCAACGAAAAATTAAATTCACGATGATAGTAAAGGAAGACAAGTGATTACCTTTCCTGTATGTTGAAGTGGTTCGCTGTAATGGGACGCTCAAGTAGAAAGATTGGAATAATGAGGAGCATGATCTTCCCAAACCTACGCTTAATGGATGTTTGGGCGATAATGCATGTGATTTTAAGGCTTTGAGAGATAGTACTTGGAGTAAAACACACACTGGGACTGGAACCGAGTGAAATCGGTCAACCAGAATGACAAGGAACGGATCTACGGGACCATGAGGAGGATACGGATAGGAGGCCCGAGTCGGCTTAGTCATTTGAAAAACAGGGGGTCAGGGTGAGTGGCATGTATGATAGGTCGAGAGTTGGATGAGAGGATGAAGAGTTGATATACGGGCCTGGACAGAAAGAAGGATGACAGTGTAAGTGCTTTCGTTAGAACGTTGACTTGAGTTCGTAGCTTGGTGCGGAGAATGTCAACACTCACTGACGATGCGGGCGAAACGTCTGAGAATGTTGGGAATTATGATAACTATGGCAGAGGGCTTCGGACAAAGTGTGTTCTACTAAGTCTCCCAAGTTGCGACAACAAGGTTAACCCACTTCTATCTGCTGAATAGTTGTGGATCTCTCATTCTGTCTTGGTGAAATCAACTATTTAATATCCTCATTACACTCTTTCACTGTCACAATTTCTTGTTTATTTAAACCCAGTTTAGGTGTGCCCTTTTGTTCGGATTTAGGCATATTCACACTTTTCGTTAGTTCCCTCATCCCTCCCCATTATGCTGGCAGTGTTGATTCGAGTCTAACTTTAGCCCGCAATCCTCTTCATCCAGGTCCTATCAGTCTCCCTTTTGCCTCGTAAATGTCAAAGTGCCTTTACTTGATCACTACCACTATATACATGCTAGAGGCGTTATGTTCTAGACTCTACTTTTGATAACACCTATACTCCAGCCTTGAATGTGTGGAGTCTCAACGTGGATGGAAACGCCTCAGATTCTCTTATCACTATGTTACATATTCATTGGGCAAATCTCATGATCAATCCTTTACTTCACGGATCACCTCTATGATCATACCCATCTACTAATAGCCAATTACCTTTGTATCCGCCGCATCTCGCTCTTCTACCCCTAATTCTATATCTATGACTTCCCCATGCCCTAATCACTTATTTGTCGAACCCCAAATATGATTGTTGTTCCTCTTGTTTTGATTAGGCCTACTGTAGACGTCTACAATTGATTTCCTAATGTTCTTCTGTAGCCTCATTGCAATTTCTTTTTCCTCGAGTTTAGCATATTTTCTCGATGTAGTCGTCTTTTTTTGATGCTATTTCTGTTCCCTGATCTCCCCTAGTTTGGCTTAAACAATAGGCAACGTTTTCGCTTATTCTACTCTCTTCGTGTCTCCTGTTGATTAGAGCTCTTTCAGTCAGGATATCAATGACCTCTCTGATAGATGGTCTATATATTATCTCAGATATTTTCGTTGATTATAAAATATGGTCAGTTGTACTATCGTTCCGTATCAGCTCTCCTTACAGAATGTCCTGCCCTCCTTCTAAGATCTCCCGCAGAGTCATGATCGCCTTCTCGCCTGAGATGTTTGTATAAATGGATTGTATGTCAAAACTTACGAACAATTCCTTCTTTGTCCGTTCAAGCTTTTTGATCCTATGAGGAAATCCTTTTGCGTTATTTTCGGTGTTTAAGAGTCTGTCATTTAACTTCTTGAGCCAGCCTGTGTCAATCCATGCTTTTTTACTATTATTCTTAGTGGTTTTCTTTCTTTGTATGTCTTAGTTAGTCCCTAGGCTGTCACTTGTCTTAAAGAAATCATGATCCAACTATCTATTTCTTCGATTACATGTATTGCCCGGATACGAGCTCAGCTATCAGTGCTGATGATACTTAAATGAGGTCTCACATTATTTGGGTGGCAAGGCCATGTGAACTATGGATTGAGAAAATTCAACGGCTAGCCCTTTATCAACTTAACTGACCTTGGTGGCAGCACAAATTTTTAGCTGGTTGTTTGAACGATTCCATTCTCTGCATATAACTGATTATATAGTAGTTTTATCACACACCTTATCCTCCTCCAAGACTTTTTACTTATCTTCCGCTTCCTACAGTTTAAATTGTTCGCTTACAGATTATTAGTCAAGATATTTGAATTTTTTGAAATACTGGGATTTGACATGTCTAACTGCAAGTCCTATCGATTAGAATAAATTAGCATTAAACCATCTGGAATGATTTCAAGGCTTTTACATGCAATTTTTACTGGTTTCTTATTTAGAATCATCAAAAAGGCATATTATGCATAATTATGCTATAAATGTTTAGAACTTCTGTTTTTTTTACTTTTCATAATGCACAAGGTATACGTTTGTCTGGATACTGACTCAAATATAAAACTTTAGCAAAGGTGCACTTGTGAGCATCGTTCATGAGAACCCTCCACACTCCACGCTGGCGTTCTCACCACCTCTGCACCCTTGTGCTGGGAATGTTGATCAAAGTCTGTCATATTGTTATAACTTCCTCCTTCCCTAGGTCTTATCAGTCTTCCTCTTGCCCCGTACAATCCGTATGCTATCTCACTGCTTCACGCATTTCACTTGACCCCTGCCACCC